ATAATAATAATAATAATAATAATAATAATAATAATAATAATAATGATGTAAATGTTTATTATCAAAATGAACAATATATAGAAAACCAAAATCAACTTTTCCTGAGAGAAAAATCCACAAATTTCTCCTGATCAGACAATAGCGATCCACTCTGCTTAATAAAGTCAAAAGGCAGGTTTCATTATTAACAGATGGTGGTACTTTTTTCTCATGCATCTCTAAGAACAAACCAATTTCTTCTCAGAAAGTAATTAAAAGAATTCTGGAGAACTTGATAAACAAATCTTCAAAGATGCTACAGGAAAAGGAAAATCACTGTATTTCCTGCATGGTTTTTTTGCTTTTCAAAATAGGCAGAAATGCATGAAATACATGTGCATACTTATAAAAATTAATTATATGCTATTCTCAAAATTAAGATCATATTTCGCTTATACAGTCCAATAGGAGGCATCTCCAGAAAATTCCTTAGAACTGAGCAGCAAATATCACCCTGTAAACATGTTCCTATGATACTGTTATAACAAGAAAAGGAACTGAGGTTACCAAGTTACACATCTTAACTGGTTAAATTTAGGCAGGGTAACAGTGGGTGGTACAAACTCGCTCAGTGTAAAACAAGAAAGGTTCTCCAACTTCAAGTGTCCAGGTTTTTCATAACTGAAGTTATATTTAAAAGGAGAAGTTGGCTTTATACTGCAGAAGCAAGGGAAACTTGTTACAGCCCCTGTCTGAATAGGTCTGTCCACATTCATGCCTTCATTGGATGCCCACAGCAGGAGGTGATTTCTTTCATGAGCTCAGTTTTCCATAAGCTTCTAACTTTGGTGCTTTTCCAGCAAAAAAAATGAGAGGAAAAACGTACAAAACAAAATACACCTCTTCACTAAGCCCGTAGATTTCTTTATACTGCCAGCAGTCTCTGAATGAGTTGTTAAAGATGGATAAGTTTAGTGAACAAGGGCGCTGACCAAGAGTGTAAGGGATAGTCTTCCCAAAATATCTACCTCCTCTAGCACATAAGCTGGATATATTTCTTTTTTCTAGAGTTTCATTTTGGCACAAGAATTAGGCATCTCTTCAGAAAGAGAAAATCACCTGCCCTTCCCTGCACTCACTATTTCAATGCTCTGTCAGATCCTCCAGTTTTGTAGTTCACAGGAAAAGCAGAGGTAGGGGGGGACAAAACATCGGAGTTCTGCATTCAGAGTGTACTGTTGCAGGTTATAAAGTCTCTGATGTTACCTGCACTACAGTCAAGCACATCAAGTAACCAGGTTATCTGCAAATGGCTTTTTCCTGATCTGAGAGGGAAGACCTTGGACGATCCCATCCAGCCCTGTGTCTTAACAGCCAACAATGTGGCAGAAAGAAAATGGAAACAAGCAGCAGACAGCATTTGTCTCAGAAGTGAGATCGTGAAGGAATAAATGAAATTACGTTGAAAATTTACCATTGTAAACTTTAACTGCATCTTTTCTTCCCCTCCTGTCTCCAAGGAAGCATTGTAAACTCTCATTTGCCCTTACTATGTAGCATAGGTACAGTAAGTATTTTTGCCCGTTTAATTTTTTTAAGCTCTGTAACAGCTGCAGCAGGATAGGGTTCTCCTTATCTCACCTCTTTCGTATTGCAAGGTAACATTAAATCCATATTTCATTTTGAAAGGAGAGAGTAAGGATCTTGCAGCAAGAGTGGACAACAGAGAAGGAAGCTTAGGGATACGCTGAAACAGAAGGATTACCGAAGTCCAAGCGAAGTGGAAAAAAAAAAAAAAAATCTTGTCAGATTTTGCAATTGGCATTAAACCCATGCATATTAAACTACTAGTGATAACAGCCATATCTTTTGTAATCCTCCTGAAAACTTGGCTCATGCAGATTGAATGTCTACCCAAACTGCAAGGACCAAGGTGGGAGTGGTAGGACAAAAAGTATCGCAAACAACCTCGCAGTTTCTGAAGAGGAATTAAGTTCATTAAAACAGGTCCCATTTTATGGGGAGCAGATGTCCTGCCCTAATCATAACTCTACCAACTTCCCCAAGCAAGGCTGCTGGCCAGGAAGCAACTGAAGCCAACAGCTATTCTCTCCCCTCTTCATTCATCCCTTCCTCTCCATATTTATTCTGCTGAGGAGAAATTAATGCTGGCCAGAGTTCACACCTGAAAGCAGGGCAGAACACTACATTCTTTCCTTACCACTCTCTTTCCTCTCAAATATACAGATTTGTCAGTTGGTTGATACCTTTCTTCCAGTTCCTAGTATAAATTCTTGAAATGTAGTTGTCTGACCTGAAGGATTCTTGCCACCATAGATAAACCAGAAACAGAAGACAGAGTATAACATGAAGTTTACTAAAAAAAAAAAAAAAAACCAAAAAAGAAAAAAAAGTAAAAACATAAATTTTAAAAAAAAAAAAAAAAAAAAAAAAAAAAAAATGTGGCTCAAAGATTACAACTGAGTATCCTGAAGAGTTACAGACAACATCAAACTACAACCATAGAAAGCTTCTTTTCACTGTAGCTGATAATCTGCATCTTAATTCACTGTTTATGTTACGGTATTTCTTATTCATCAGTACAGATAAACAAATCCAAAACCTTTTTCCATATATTTCTGGATCTCATTTTACTCATTTTCTGAGTATATAAAGTAGGAAGAGGCAGTCCTAAACTTGTTTTTTTCTTTTTCAGTTTGTCACTGAAATTCATAGCAAACTCAAGAAATCAAAATCACTTTGATGGTTATATCCCCACCAGTCAACTAGAAATCACAGACAAACCATCATGTCATAGAAGAAAAAAAAAAATTCATTCTACTTCTATTGAAATAAATTACAACTCAGTGCACTAAAAGCCAACATGGGTGTCTGTGCAAGTTGTGCAATTTTCTGGATCACCATATTATTAATAATTCCTTTTAATAATCATTATCTTCATAAAAATTAATTGATTGCACACTTGCACTTCCAAATATTAAAGTTCACATGGGGTACACATAAAAGAACAAAAAGAGAGCAAAGAAAATTTCTAATGTCTGAAAAATATACATAAAACCTGAAACAAGGTCATGTGTACTTCAACTGCTTATTTGGGAGTTTTTTTATTTTGTTTTAAAGAAAGCATTTTATTTCTTGTCATTTTATGCAGAAGACTGCTCTGCGTTTCACAGTTGATTAGGACAGGTCATTTACGAAGAATATGCTTGCTGGTTTCAACACAAAATTTGTTGACATAAAAGCCATAAAGAAGTAAAATGCTAGCTGGAACAGCCATTCAAATTTTACAGAGTGTAAAAGGATCTGTTTTAACCACTAGGTAATAACTGAGCAACTTGGTACTACCCCCAGCAGATTTTTCAAACGCATAAATCAATTATTTTTCTGTAAAGTACAATACTTGATACTCCAAATCAGGCTGAATATACTAACTAAAAAACTTTGGTTTGTATTTCTGTTAGATTTTAAAACATGTATTTTATCATCAGTATGTGAACAAGAAAACTTATGACATCACATGGTTCTGTGCAGCACACCACTGTGTTGCATCATTTTGCTGAAGGTGCCAATACAACCTGCACACATTTTATTAGCAGACAAAGCAAAGAGTAAATCCAA